ACTCATAACAAAACACAGAGAGCTATCACTGTGGTATTGTAATAACACTTGGCTGCTGAATTCTCTCAATACATTAAATATCTCCTTGGAGACCAAATTACTTTACATTTTCTTAAAAGACAATTTATTATAGCTTTGTTTTCTTCTCATTATCTCTTAAAAATATATCCAATGAAGAAATGAATACAACTTCTAAATAACTTACATAAAATGATACTAATGTGTGACAACACTTTGGTTTAATATGTTGGTTATTAGTTAAATAGCACACAACAACCTATTGTCATGGCAAATCCTTACACAACGTGATATTCCACATGTCACATGTATCAAAAACCACTGTATGCCACTGTTATGGCACACATAAAATCAACACCCTAAGGCTTCTAACAATTTAAATAATTGATAAGGTTTCAATTAAAAAGGCAACATTTGCAGGTATAACACAGAAATCCATTTAAATTACTGATAAACAAAACAAAACAAACCACCACAAAAAAACCTTAGGCTTCTGTTGGCCCAAAGCCAGAAAATGCTTGTATCCAATGGATTAAAAAAGAAATTAAGAAGTATGTCTGCAGGTTACAACTTAGACAATGCAAAATTTTTTAAAACTTTAGACAGAGATTCAGGCTGTTTATTCATTTAATCTTTGTAATCAATAGGAAAGGATAATTAAAGGATTTATAGTAAAAGTATCTCTAGTTTTGCTTTGCCTATATTAAAGAAATACTAAGGTGACTGCAAATTTATTGAATGCCACATGAAAAATGACTTTTTATTTTTTTTAGAGTAAATATATGGTCATCTGTCACTATTTTCCTGATGTCACCACACAAAACCTGGAATCAAAATTTTTGAGAGCCAAATTGAACCTAAAATATGAAGACCAATGCAGGTTTTTAATAACAGGTTGGCAAATGAGGACTATCAACCAAAATCTATTGCAAGATTCTCTTATGGTTCTCTTAATGCAAAACTGGAACACAAAGGAATTTCAACCATGAGAACCAAGGCAGATCAAAATGAGAGTCAACCAATCTTGTTTGTGCTTTTTGAAAAAGAGATTCCTTTACTCTTTACAGTTTAAATGTTTTCTCAGAGCTTGACTACATAAACAAAGAATATGTGACAGTAGGGGGTTAGTGCAACAAACAGGAGAAAAATCCATTTAGATTTTAAATGACTTAAAACTTAGCTCTCTTAGGAACATGTTTCTCTTAAAAAAATTTTTTTTTATTGATTTAGAGAAAGAAGTAGGGGAAGGGAGAGAGAGAGAAACATTAATATGAGAGAGAAACATCAATCGGTTGCCCTCCACATGAGACCCATACCCAGACCTGGGATTGAACCACAACCTGGGTATGTGCCCTCACCGGGAATCGAACCACCACCTTTTGGTGTACGGAACAGCACTCCAACCAACTAAACCACAACAGGGCATAGGGATATTTTCATTTAAAAATACTTTGCTTAAGCACTCAGAATCAGGTAAGTGGAGCTCTACCTTCAGTTAAAATTTGGTGGCGGTGGGGGCTTAGGTTCCCATCTCTAAATATTTAAGTGAATGAAAGAGAAAATCTGGACCTAATCAGCCTGACCACAATCCATGGACCACTACCAATTCATAAAAAGTTTTCAACATCCATAGCAAATCAATACAAAGAATAATTAAGTGAGTTTTTATATTAAAACTAAATTAACTAGCTCTGGCTGGTATGGCTCAATGGTTAGAGAGTCAGCCCGAAGACCAGAGGGTTGAGCTTCTGTTCTCAGTCAAGTGCAGGTACCTGAGTTGCAGGTTGGATCCCCTCCCCGGTCAGGGAGTATGAGCAAGGCAACCAATTGCATCTCTCTCACATCGAT